TAACAATCCCCAGGCACCCAAAGCTAAGGTTTGACATTTTAGTGTGTGTAGCATGTAAGATCAAATTTATTGAGTATTTACAAAATTCAAGGCTGCTTATGCGCTTAACAGACTTAATAGGAATTGAGTTTTCACATGAATATTTGCATAATTTACTCCGATACGCAGCTTATCTGTACCTCTGAATCAAAGTATTACTGTACAGCTACAGTTTCTGAGCCTGAGTGAAACATACCAAAACAAGATGGGTGCTCTGTCCAATGTGATGACAACAGTGGATTCAATTCCCAACATCAATGATATTATTCTGTTTATTATTCTACAGATAGTTTCTGATCCTAAGTGACACGTCCTTGAAACAAGATGGCTGCCATGTCCGATGTGATGACCACAGCTGATGCCAGCGTTATCCTACAGATCAAGTAGGTTCTTTAGAATCTAACTACAGTAAACTATGGTTAGGACAAACTCAAAAGGGCCACTTAGTTAGTTTGTTATATCCATAATTACATGCATTTCGTCTAAGGTATACAGCAAGTGGACAAGACAAAAACAACTTTTTGTTATGTCCATCAGTTCACTTTAAGTGTGTTCAGTATAAACATGGTTTAAAATAATTAGTACCCAGACACAGGTTTCTGGAAAGGAGGGAGCATTTCATGATCAGAAGTTGAATGGGAGATAATTATCATCGTAAATGTAAATGGTAGTGTTGGACTATGTGAACACTTGGTATGTCCAGTCACCTATAAGCTGTCACTAATAACTGTGTGTATCCATAGCTGATAAAGGCGGTGGGGGTGGCCTAGTGGTTAAATTGTTTGCTTTCGTCGTCGCTACCAAAGACCCAGGTTCGATTCCCTACATGGGTACAGTGTGTGAAGCCCATTTCTAGTGTCCCTCACCATGATATTGCTTTGAATATTGCTAAAGGCTGCTTTAAAGCTATACTAAGCTATACTCACTCACTCCCATAGCTGATAATATTTCTGTCTGTATAGGTGTAAATGATTCGGACTTATGTAACATATGTTATATTTGAGATTACACTTTCTCTGTGAAGTACACATTCTAGTACTTTTTGGGTTGAGTCCCATCCGGGATTCAACCCACACCCTCAGAATCAGGCACCTAATCGCCAGCACAAACTCAGGCATTTAACACGCTCAGCTATGGCTTCCACAAAATGGAAGTTGGACAACTGGTGGTGTAGATCATGTACTTTAAGTACCCCTCTGATAAGAGTAAGTTTGCATGGCTCCCTATAAATATACAATGTCGAAGTGAGAATTCGATTCCTGGATTGCACTCTATCTTATGAAACTACCAGAATTTGTACTTTACTGGCAAAGTGTAATCCCAAATATAACATATGTTACATTTGACCCACTTAAACGGCATTGTGAGTCTGACATGCCAAGTCAAAAATTTCCTTGGTACTGTCACTGACAATTTTGAATTAAATATTGACTCACTTAAGCAGCAGAAGTAGAAATGGCTGCATTACTTTTGGTGTTGATGATTACTGAAATTTACAGATGACTTGCATCAGTGCTAATTTTTCTGTTCATGTAAATATTGCTGATGTGACGATAAATTTTAACTCACTCACTCACTCACTCTGTCCATGTATTTTTGTTAGTTTTGATTGAATACAAACTATATTTTATGCGTATTGTTCATGCTTTTCAGAGATAAATTGCCAAAGGGATTTCTTATCAACATTTTTGGCAAAATAACAGCAGTCAGTGAAATCTTCAGGTATGATGCTTTGCTTTGATTGTGTTATTTTGTTTATGCCTATAGTGATAGGATGATGTTACTTCCTTCTGGTGAGAAATGGATTTGACATACATTGTACATGTTTACTGTTTTCACACCCCAACATCTTAAACATTGCCACTGATCTCAGTTTACTGTGGGATTTCCTCATGAATTCCCTATTACGTAGATTGATGGTGGGATTTCCTCATGAATTCCCTATTGCGTAGATTGATGGTGGGATTTCCTTATGAATTCCCTATTGCGTAGATTGATGGTGGGATTTCCTCATGAATTCCCTATTGCGTAGATTGATGGTGGGATTTCCTCATGAATTCCCTATTACGTAGATTGATGGTGGGATTTCCTCATGAATTCCCTATTGCGTAGATTGATGGTGGGATTTCCTCATGAATTCCCTATTGCGTAGATTGATGGTGGGATTTCCTCATGAATTCTCTATTGCGTGAGATTGATGGTGGGATTTCCTCATGAATTCCCTATTGTGTGTAGATTGATGGTGGGATTTCCTCATGAATTCCCTATTACGCGTAGATTGATGGTGGGATTTCCTCATGAATTCCCTATTAAATAGATTGATGGTGGGATTTCCTCATGAATTCCCTATTGCGTAGATTGATGGTGGGATTTCCTTATGAATTCCCTATTGCGTAGATTGATGGTGGGATTTCCTTATGAATTCCCTATTGCGTAGATTGATGCTCATTGTCTTTTTGTTTAGTGAGTTGGGCAAGGTTTTTCTGATTTTATGCATGTTGTTCAGACGTAGTGCTTGGTGTATAGCTGCTTTTCTTGTTTCTTTTATTTTTCAAGAGTGAAGAAGGATTTGATATTCTTGATTGAATTAGACAACATCATCAAGATAATTAAGTAAAAGGTAAACAAGTTCAAGTTGAGATGGGGTGGGGTAGCCTAGTGGTTAAAGTGTTAAGCTCGTCAAACTGAAGACCGGGTTCGATTCCCCACATGGGTACAATGTGTGAAGCCCATTTCTGGTGTCCCCACTGTGATGTCGCTGAAATATTTGCTAAAAGCGGCGTAAAACCATACTCACTCACTCCTCAAGTTGAGACACAAGTAATAGTACTTACTCAACCTTAACTTTTTGGCGTGAAATAGTTAGCATTACACACACACAGGCATGCATGCATGCATTGCCTTACATTCTTACTGTGAAAGATCATAGTTTAGTTAGTGTGAAATGTTGAGTCAACACTGTAGACAGCAGCAGATGACACTATTCATTGAACAGTTGTAGGAAAACTAGAAAGCGCGGTTGTTTAATAGCACTGAAACTCATTCCTTCATGACAATGAATCGATCTAATGAGTTGTTTTGGAAAATGGACTTCTTGTTAGGCAAAGATGTGTAGGTTTAAAACCAAACTGAAACTTCTCTCTAATCCTTCAAACATCCTTTCTGATCTTTAGCCTGAAAGACTTAAAAACATAGCACTTAGCATCATTTTTCAATAGAATTTAGTTTTATCATATGTACCATTGTTTGTGGAGCTAACTGTTCCAAACAGAGTTTTACTTGGTTCAACTCTATTTTGAATTAGTGACTAATGTGTCATCTTAGAGGAGAATATTCTTCTGACCTCTTGGTAGTATGCTTATATTTGCCACTATCCATAGCAGGTGCATGGACCCAACACATTCACTAATACTGATGGTGATAACATATGCTACTCAACATTTGTTAAGGGTCATAACTTTGACAAAACACTCTTAGTCCTTAGCAATTGTGGAATAGTATATAAGGACAAGCCCATATTGAGCCTACTAGCCCTCGGGATACCTGCCAGTGTATGTCCCTGTGTTTGTTATGAACACATGTTTGAACATGGTGGTTGTGTGTTGTGTCATGCCTATTGTGTAAATTATTAATCAACAGGACTCACACTAATCGATCACATTTGCGTTAAAGAGTATTGCATTAATCTTTTATGATATTTGAGAATGGTTTTATTGCTGTTTTATTCATTTATTGAATTTCTGTACTGCTGCAGTTCTCTTTTTCAAACTTGATGAAATCAGTTTTTAACTCAAATGGCCTGAAGCTGTCAAAGGTTAAAAAGCCAAATTGGAGAGAATTTTAATATCAACACTGGTTCCAGTTTCAGCTCACCTGACTTAAATGCTTTTTGTAATACTAATATTGAGTGTACAGCACACAACCCTGTGCACTTAAAAGAACCCATAAATCCGTAAGCTATATGACCAGATGGGGGCCACATGAATGGAGTGCAAACACCTTGTTCTTGGGTACAGCAGCGTGCGAGTGACTTGGACAAAGTACTGTCACTTTGTGTCCCTAGTCCACCCAGATGTGAATGGGTACCTCATAAGGATGAGAAAGCCGGAATAACTTCGGTCGCCCTAATGGCTGCAAGAGTTAATGATCCCGAGGGAGTTGAGAGATTGATAATGATGTACCGTTGAGATTGACATACAGAGTCGAGGAAAAAATACCAGAAGCCCTTGAGCTTGTACTAGTTGCTTGTATATGTCGCTATATAAATATCCTATAATTTGTTCACTATATATATATCTAATTTGAAGGGGGTTTTAGCATTACATACCATTCTTCATCCTTATTGTAAGTATTGACATTTGCATGTTGTCCAGACCTATGAATTCTTTATTCACTGACATGGTATTTTCAGCAAAAGCAAAATCTTGTCTGGCAGGAGCAGATAACTCCAGAAGTGGAATATGTCATTACCAACTTGAGAAACCACAACACTGCAGAAGGTGATATATATTTCAATAATGGTGATTTACCGACATTAAGTTGGTGGAATAAGAAAGAAAGAAACAAATGCCATATTTCATCTGCCATATCTAATAGTATTCTTTTGTGCCAAGAATTCATTTCTTATTATCATCGGAATGCAGAACTGCCAAAGTACAGGATATTTAGCATGTGGTCCTTAGACTGATGTCATATAATTCAATGTTTTAAACATCCCACTTCAAAAACTGCACCAGAAATTACTGTGATGCTTATAGTCAAGCGCCTCTTTTGAGGGGCATGAGGTGTTACATATGCTTCAAACTCACTGGGATATTCTTGTTTTGCTATTTATGTCACAAGTCTGGACATTTTCTCATAAAAATATCATCTGTAGAGATATTGATAGTAATTTCCTCTGCAGGGTTCGGCGTCCCAGGTGAGGGTGTTTGTTCCCTGGAGTGGAAGCTGCCTGTATCTGAGAAGCTGAAGCTGTGGAGTACTCCCCAGTCACCCTCCAGGTACTCAGGCCCTGTCACACGCTCTAGTTGGTTATTAGGGGGCACTGCTGGTGCTGTAGTTGCTCCGGCCCTGTCACAGCTCTAGTTGGTTATTGGGGGCTGCTGCTGGTGCTGTAGTACTCAGGCCCTGTCACCGCTCTAGTTGGTTATTGGGGGCACTGCTGGTGCTGTAGTACTCAGGCCCTGTCACCGCTCTAGTTGGTTATTGGGGGCACTGGTGGTGCTGTAGTACTCAGGCCCTGTCACCGCTCTAGTTGGTTATTGGGGGCACTGCTGGTGCTGTAGTACTCAGGCCCTGTCACCGCTCTAGTTGGTTATTGGGGGCACTGCTGGTGCTGTAGTACTCAGGCCCTGTCACCGCTCTAGTTGGTTATTGGGGGCACTGCTGGTGCTGTAGTACTCAGGCCCTGTCACCGCTCTAGTTGGTTATTGGGGGCACTGGTGGTGCTGTAGTACTCAGGCCCTGTCACCGCTCTAGTTGGTTATTGGGGGCACTGTTGGTGCTGTAGTACTCAGGCCCTGTCACGCTCTAGTTGGTTATTGGGGGCACTGCTGGTGCTGTAGTACTCCGGCCCTGTCACGTTCTAGTTGGTTATTGGGGGCACTGCTGGTGCTGTAGTACTCAGGCCCTGTCACGCTCTAGTTGGTTATTAGGGGGCACTGCTGGTGCTGTAGTACTCAGGCCCTGTCACCGCTCTAGTTGGTTATTGGGGGCACTGGTGGTGCTGTAGTACTCAGGCCCTGTCACCGCTCTAGTTGGTTATTGGGGGCACTGCTGGTGCTGTAGTACTCAGGCCCTGTCACCGCTCTAGTTGGTTATTGGGGGCACTGCTGGTGCTGTAGTACTCAGGCCCTGTCACCGCTCTAGTTGGTTATTGGGGCACTGCTGGTGCTGTAGTACTCAGGCCCTGTCACCGCTCTAGTTGGTTATTGGGGGCACTGCTGGTGCTGTAGTACTCAGGCCCTGTCGCCGCTCTAGTTGGTTATTGGGGGCACTGGTGGTGCTGTAGTACTCAGGCCCTGTCGCCGCTCTAGTTGGTTATTGGGGGCACTGCTGGTGCTGTAGTACTCAGGCCCTGTCACCGCTCTAGTTGGTTATTGGGGGCACTGGTGGTGCTGTAGTACTCCAGCCCTGTCACCTCTAGTTGGTTATTGGGGGCACTGCTGGTGCTGTAGTACTCGGCCCTGTCACCACTCTGGTTGGTTATTTTCAGATTGTCATTTTGTCCTGTTTATTCAACCCTGGCCTGCATCATTCACACATCTGATGATTCTGTGTACTGTGATGTTCAGAACAATTGGAGATAAAGTACCTGAACCTTATGAACCATGTTATCATCAAGGAGTGAACAGTTATGGCAGGGTTTTGGTACTGTAGCTGACTCTGGGATGTTTGTATCTGGGTATTTGATAATCATGACGATAAATGAAGGGTTTTAAATATTTTTCCTTGTTCACCCTCATCTTGCTTATTAGTGAAACATACATTGTATTTTTGACATTTAGTTTATTAAATGGTTGACAGATGCCTGTGGACAGATTCAAGAGGGTGTTATATTACTAAAACAAAATAAGTCCAAATCTGTTATATATGTCTCATTTGCAGCTCATGTTAAGATTGTTTAAGTTGAACAATTTTGTTGCTTTCTCAGGACTGGCTTCACAGCAGGAGCATCATAGTGCCAGAACCGATTCCAACTGAGAGCAGTGCCTCTACAACAGGGGACAACTTTGTGGCATATCAGGTAGGCTTCAACACAAAGGAGTCTGAATATATGAACTGTAAATGAACAGTAGTTATCCCAGGCACGGGTCCAGGTGTTGCACTTGATGGTTATTGTAGATCAGACATACCTTGGCTGTGAACAGGGGAACTGTTTGTTTCCTATGAAACATATATCAGTAAACTAAGCCTATAACGAACTCAAAGGGACCACTAATTTTGTTTCAAGGTATAATTTGTTACACAAAGTTAGGTCATAAACATACAGCCAGCTTAACAGTCTGATAAGTGTAATACATTAGTTTTCTGGGTTTTTTTCTATACACTATGATAATTAACTACAGATAAGAATAATGTTAATTCAGATCCTGTATAAATCAACTGTTGCTACAAAACAATGCACCAGACTAGTGGATATTATAAAGTTGACAGAGACAAATTCAGCCACCTGAGATGGTAGGACAGGCAGGTATTATTATATCGCTCAACCTTGATGGTGGACAAGAGTATCATTCAGGATTCTGACAGACCCTCACGGTACATAGTTGTAAACATCTCATTAATGCTAGTGTTCACCATGTACACTGTAGCTTGGTTTCAATGTACACTGTAGTTGAAGAGTCACAGTGCAAGGGTTCACAGTGCAAAATATTTCCAGTTGAAAGAACAATGATTAGGAGGTTGTGGAAACAAACTATGGCATGAAGTCTGGGTTGCAATTGTCATTTCAAAGAAAGTAAAAGAAATTGCCTATCTGGAGTCATTTTGAGACGTTGCTGTTCAGCAACCATATATGTACATATTTTTCAGGTGTGATGAATCATGTGAAAGTATGCTGGTTTGTTTGGTTGTGGGGTTTAGGACAGTGCAAAGTGAAGGTTATCTGTTCCAGGGGGCTTGTGACCAGCTGTGACCGGGTCTAGTGTGGGGATATTTGAACTGGACCATCGAGTCGGTGTGAGTGTGTCCAGGGTTGCAGTAATTTGTACACCAACTTGCAGCTTGGGGGATCTAACAGAAAATTTGATCTTGTTGTCTTAGCATTCTCTTCCCACAGAGGTTACTTGTCATATCTTCCTACAGTACAGCCCTTTCATGGTGCGAAAGTGTTAAGGATTCGTGAGTGATGGCAATCAGATTTAGTTGTGCAATCAGCGACATTGTTTCAAAATGATCATTCAAGAAGGTCTCGGTAATTTCTGTATGCTTCGGAAAACTAGAACCTCTTCACCTGGGCGATGTGCAAACGTTTCTTCTAGACAGAACTTAGTCACCTAATAAGCGGATCAATGGCATCTCCATCGCCCTCATTGACAACGGACGAAGCTAGCCATTAAATGCCTTGTGTGTCACATCAACACAAGTTCCCGCAGAGCAGGGATATTTGTGGCCCCACATTTGTTTGTATTAGTCCAGTTGGATCTAAGTCAATGTAACATGTGTTCTTATTGTATAGAAAGGAGGGAGATAATTCGTGTTGCCATTTTTTGCCGCTAGGGATTTTACGAGAACCGGAAATATGGCCGTGATTAGAACAGAGGTTCAGAGGAAAGATATGACAAGTAACCTCCAAGTTTGAAAGTGGAATATGATGGGTCGACCAGAGCGGGGATCATCTCCCCATCTGTCCCATGATCCAAGTTTGAAAGTGGAATATGATGGAGTCGACCAGGAGCCGAGGGATCATCTCCCCATCTGTCCCATGATCCAAGTTTGATGAGTGGAATATGATGGGTCGACCAGAGCGGATCATCTCCTTCTGTTCCATGATCCAAGTTTGTTAGTGGAATATGATGGGTCGACCAGAGTGGGATCATCTCCCCATCTGTCCCATGATCCAAGTTTGATAGTGGAATATGATGGGTCGACCAGGAGCGGGCATCATCTCCCCATCTGTTTCCATGACCCAGGTTTGAAAGTGGAATATGATGGGTCGACCAGAGGGGGATCATCTCCCCATCTGTCCCATGATCCAAGTTTGATAGTGGAATATGATGGGTCGACCAGGCGGGGATCATCTCCCCATCTGTCCCATGATCCAAGTTTGTTAGTGGAATATGATGGGTCTGACCAGGGGGATCATCTCCCCATCTGTTCCATGATCCAAGTTTGAAAGTGGAATATGATGGGTCGACCAGGGCAGGATCATCTCCCCATCTGTCCCATGATCCAAGTTTGATAGTGGAATATGATGGGTCGACCAGAGCGGGATCATCTCCCCTATCTGTCCCATGATCCAAGTTTGTTAGTGGAATATGATGGGTCGACCAGAGGGGATCATCTCCCCATCTGCCCATGATCCAAGTTTGATAGTGGAATATGATGGGTCGACCAGAGCAGGGATCATCTCCCATCTGTCCCATGATCCAGGTTTGATAGTGGAATATGATGGGTCGACCAGAGCTAGGGATCATCTCCCATCTGTCCCATGATCCAAGTTTGATAGTGGAATATCATGGGTCGACCAGAGCGGGATCATCTCCCCATCTGCCCCATGATCCAAGTTTGAAAGTGGAATATGATGGAGTCGACCAGGCGGGGATCATCTCCCCGTCTGTCTCATGATCCAAGTTTGGAAGTGGAATATGATGGGTCGACCAGGCAGGGGATCATCTCCCATCTGTCCCCATGATCCAAGTTTGAAAGTGGAATATGATGGGTCGACTCAGGCGGGGATCATCTCCCCATCTGTCCCATGATCCAAGAGTTTGAAAGTGGAATATGATGGGTCGACCAGGCGGGGATCATCTCCCATCTGTCCCATGATCCAAGTTTGAAAGTGGAATATGATGGGTCGACCAGAGCGGGCATCATCTCCCATCTGTCCCATGATCCAAGTTTGAAAGTGGAATATGATGGATCGACCAGAGCGGGGATCATTTCCCCATCTGTTCCAGGATCCAAGTTTGAAAGTGGAATATGATGGGTCGACCAGAGCAGGGATCATCTCCCCATCTGTCCCATGATCCAAGTTTGATAGTGGAATATGATGGGTCGACCAGAGCAGGGGATCATCTCCCCATCTGTTCCATGACCCAGGTTTGAAAGTGGAATATGATGGGTCGACCAGAGCGGGGATCATCTCCCCATCTGTCCCATGATCCAAGTTTGATAGAGGGAATATGATGGGTCGACCAGAGCGGGGATCATTTCCCCATCTGTTCCAGGATCCAAGTTTGATAGTGGAATATGATGGGTCGACCAGAGCAGGGGATCATCTCCCCATCTGTCCCATGATCCAAGTTTGATAGTGGAATATGATGGGTCGACCAGAGCGGGGATCATCTCCCCATCTGTTCCATGATCCAGGTTTGAAAGTGGAATATGATGGGTCGACCAGGCCCCAGGGGATCATCTCCCCATCTGTCCCATGATCCAAGTTTGATAGTGGAATATGATGGGTTGACCAGAGCAGGGGATCATCTCCCCATCTGCTCATGATCCAAGTTTGAAAGTGGAATATGATGGGTCGACCAGGCAGGATCATCTACCCATCTGTCTCATGATCCAAGTTTGAAAGTGGAATATGATGGGTCGACCAGAGCGGGGATCATCTCCCCATCTGTCCCATGATCCAAGTTTGAAAGTGGAATATGATGGGTCGACCAGGCAGGGGATCATCTCCTATCTGTCCCATGATCCAAGTTTGAAAGTGGAATATGATGGGTCGACCAGAGCAGGGATCATCTCCCCATCTGTCCCATGATCCAAGTTTGAAAGTGGAATATGATGGGTCGACCAGAGCGGGGATCATCTCCCCATCTGCCCCATGATCCAGGTTTGAAAGTGGAATATGATGGGTAGACCAGAGCAGGGATCATCTCCCCATCTGTCCCATGATCCAAGTTTGATAGTGGAATATGATGGGTCGACCAGAGCGGGATCATCTCCCCATCTGTCCCCATGATCCAAGTTTGTTAGTGGAATATGATGGGTCGACCAGAGCGGGATCATCTCCCCATCTGTTCCATGACCCAGGTTTGAAAGTGGAATATGATGGGTCGACCAGGCAGGGATCATCTCCCCATCTGTCCCATGATCCAAGTTTGATAGTGGAATATGATGGGTCGACCAGAGCGGGATCATTTCCCCATCTGTTCCAGGATCCAAGTTTGATAGTGGAATATGATGGGTCGACCAGAGCAGGGGATCATCTCCCCATCTGTCCCATGATCCAAGTTTGATAGTGGAATATGATGGGTCGACTAGAGCGGGGATCATCTCCCCATCTGTTCCATGATCCAAGTTTGAAAGTGGAATATGATGGGTCGACCAGAGCAGGGGATCATCTCCCCATCTGTCCCATGATCCAAGTTTGATAGTGGAATATGATGGGTCGACCAGAGCAGGGATCATCTCCCCATCTGTTCCATGATCCAAGTTTGAAAGTGGAATATGATGGGTCGACCAGAGGGGATCATCTCCCCATCTGTCCCATGATCCAAGTTTGAAAGTGGAATATGATGGGTCGACCAGAGCAGGGGATCATCTCCCCATCTGTCCCATGATCCAAAGTTGACGAGTGGAATATGATGGGTCGATCATCTCTCCCATCTGTCCCATGATCCAAGTTTGAAAGTGGAATATGATGGGTCGACCAGGCAGGGATCATCTCCCCATCTGTCCCAAGATCCAAGTTTGAAAGTGGAATATGATGGGTCGACCAGAGCGGGATCATCTCCCCATCTGTCCCATGATCCAAGTTTGAAAGTGGAATATGATGGGTCGACCAGAGCGGGATCATCTCCCCATCTGTCCCATGATCCAAGTTTGATAGTGGAATATGATGGGTCGACCAGAGCGGGATCATCTCCCTTCTGTCCCATGATCCAAGTTTGAAAGTGGAATATGATGGGTCGACCAGAGCGGGGATCATCTCCCCATCTGTCCCATGATCCAAGTTTGATAGTGGAATATGATGGGTCGACCAGAGCGGGGATCATCTCCCATCTGTCCCAAGATCCAAGTTTGTTAGTGGAATATGATGGGTCGACCAGACCAGGGATCATCTCCCCATCTGTCCCATGATCCAAGTTTGATAGTGGAATATGATGGGTCGACCAGAGCGGGATCATCTCCCCATCTGTTCCATGATCCAAGTTTGAAAGTGGAATATGATGGGTCGACCAGGCGGGGATCATCTCCCCATCTGTCCCATGATCCAAGTTTGATAGTGGAATATGATGGGTCGACCAGAGCGGGATCATCTCCCATCTGTCCCATGATCCAAGTTTGAAGAGTGGAATATGATGGGTCGACCAGGCAGGGGATCATCTCCCCATCTGTCCCATGATCCAAGTTTGAAAGTGGAATATGATGGGTCGACCAGAGCAGGGGATCATCTCCCCATCTGTCCCATGATCCAAGTTTGAAAGTGGAATATGATGGGTCGACCAGAGCAGGGATCATCTCCCCCATCTGTCCCATGATCCAAGTTTGAAAGTGGAATATGATGGGTCGACCAGGAGAGCAGGATCATCTCCCCATCTGTCCCATGATCCAAGTTTGAAAGTGGAATATGATGGGTCGACCAGAGCGGGGATCATCTCCCATCTGTCCCATGATCCAAGTTTGAAAAGTGGAATATGATGGGTCGACCAGAGCGGGGATCATCTCCCCCATCTGTCCCATGATCCAAGTTTGAAAGTGGAATATGATGGGTCGACCAGAGCGGGGATCATCTCCCCATCTGTCCCATGATCCAAGTTTGATAGTGGAATATGATGGGTCGACCAGAGCAGGGGATCATCTCCCCATCTGTTCCATGACCAAGGTTTGAAAGTGGAATATGATGGAGTCGACCAGAGCAGGGATCATCTCCCCATCTGTCCCATGATCCAAGTTTGATGATGAGTGGAATGAGATGGGTCGACCAGAGCAGGATCATCTCCCCATCTGTTCCCTTGATCAAGTTTGATAGTGGAATATGATGGAGTCAGGACCAGAGCGG